TTAACATTAGGAATTTATTAATACTCTTAAGCTTAAAGGAGGACAAGATAAGCATAAGGTATCTAATACAGCACAAGTTTGACATCTAAAATTACATTCTAAAATAAATCTATTTAGTACAAGAGCATTTAGCTATCCCTATATCTAAGTAATTGGTTTTACAGATGCAAGTTGTACCTAATTAAATTCTATTATCTAAGTCCCAACAAGAATCACAATCTGAAGAGAATCGTCCCTTACAAGTTAAACAAGAATAATGACAGACTAATTTGAGATTGATATGATTACTTAAACATTATAATTTACTTGAATAAGTAGATACTGACAAACCTTAAAGCTTAGTTTTACATAGACAAGTGTTTCCATTTAAATATTTTTCTGGTTGACATGAGGTACAATTATCTGGAGAAGTCTTACATTCTAAACAAAGACTGCTACAAGCTTAAAAAATTAATAGTTTGATAATTTATACCTTAACATTCTGATAGTCCTGTATCATAATATTTTTAACCACATAAACACTCACCTTATGTATTTAATTATCTTCCAGTTAATGGATTACAAGAGGTACATTAATTTGATTAATTCCCATTGCATTTCAAGCAAGTATAATGACAAACTAAAATTAATTTAAATATTACCTATGCATATTGGATTTTCAGGTTAATCATAGTATTTAGGAGGACATAAACATGAATTATCAAGTCCAAGATCTCGAAATGAGAAATCTGGACATTTATCACAATTATCAATAGTTCCACTACATGAGGCACATCGATATGAACATTCTATATGATTCATTTATTTAAATGATTACTTAAGCATATTTAATCGCCAAATTATTTTTCTAGATGACCATCCTTACAAAGACATTAATTTGCTCTAACAATTCTATTACTTTCAATTGAACAAGTTATACAATTATCAAATTGAGGACCAAAACAAGTGTTACATGTGTAATAGCATTCTTAAAATTATCTATATTTTTTACATAAACATTCTAATGAACCTACATCATAATATCCATAAGGACAATCACATTTAGATATTATTAATTATCTATAGTTTAAATCACAAGTTAAACAATTTGTTTCTTTAACTCCATTACATGTTTTACAAGTAAAATGACATTCCAAACATTCTAATGAAGATTCATCGCTATAATAATGCGAATCCTTGCATAAGCATTTAAATGTTGCTCCAATTCTATCTGGTTATCTTGTTGAAGGACAACTTGTACAAAAATCTTCTCCAGCACTAATACAATTATTACATGAATGATGACAAGCCACTAAATATTAATTTCATAATTACAATAACAAAATACATCGTTTTTTCCAGTATCATAATAAGGTATATCACATAAACATTCATTATTTGAAGTCAAATATCGATTATTTTCACTAGAACAATCAATACAATTAGTTGATAATGGTCCATTACATCTAAGACAAGAATAATGACATTCTTAGATATTAATATTTGAGATTTACTAAAACAAATATCGATAATTCCATCTTCTCCATATCCATTTCTACATATACATTTTAGATCATCAGAAACAACTCTATTTTACCCTACTATACACATTGTACAATATTAATTTGATGAATTATCATCTGGAATTTGGCATTTTTCACATCTTGGATGACAAGCTAGATATTGTACTTAATTATTACGTTGACATAATGTGGATCCATCGTTTAAGTTAATTTCAATTGTTCTTATGGCACATATACATTAACCATTTACTAACTATTTATGATAAACATTTGGATCTCCACAATCAGTACAATCATTATCAAAAGGTCCTGAACAGTTATAACATGAAGGATAACATTCTAAAATCCTTTATATATCTTTACTTTAACAAATTTTATCTTCTAATCCTGTTTCATAATATCCTTAAAGACAAGGACAAGTAGTTCCAATTAATATTCTATTTCTTAATGGATCACATGATGTACATTCTCCAAATTTTAATGTACATGTTTAACAATCTCCACTATTGCATAAAATACATTTTCCATTTAATTCTGCATATCCTGCAATTTAATCACAAACACATTATCCAGGAATAATTCTTGCAGTTAATTTATTTTAATAAAAACAAGTTGTACAATAATTTGGATCTGTTACTAAACAAGTTTGACATGGAAGATTGCATCCAACAGTATAAGGAGCACACTTTTTATCATCTGTTAAATAGTGTGTTGCAAAACAACCGTTACATTCATTTTCATTATGACAAATAAAACATTTTTCTAATCCTGGTTCATCTTAGCAAGCTAAAATTATAAATTATAATTTAACAAGCACATCGAGTTCCTTTTTTAAAATATCCTACATCACATTATAAACAATTAGTATCAATTGGCATTCCTTCAGAATCATATATGTAATCATATTTCATACAATTCCTATCTTCAAAACATAAAGCATTTTTTAAAGTATAAGGCCACATACATTACGAACACACTCCTGAAGAACATACTTTACAATTATTTGGACATTCTAAATTTAAAAATATTAATCATACAAACACATTCTCCATTTAATAATTCATAACCATCAATACATCCATTAAATGAATAAACAGAATCAATTAATTAGCAAGTTTTATGACCTGTCTAGCATGCTTAAAATTATTATAATATCTACTTAAAGTACATTTTAGATCACTACTATCTAATGGAGACTGACCATCTATGCAGCTGGCACACTATGAATTAGTTGTATCACATGTTTTACAATATTAACCGCATTCTATAGATATAATTTATAATTTTACTAAGAGCATATGGAGATGTAGCACAATTTTGGCCATAATTTGCTCCACTACAATATATACATTTATAAATTCCAGAATACTTTTAACCAATTAAGCAACCATAATTATATAATGAGGATTTAGCTTCAGTTGTAAAGATTAAATTTCCATTTGAATCATATGAGTATATCATTACATAAGGCCACCATCCTAAAGCTAAATGAGTATCATAATTTCCGTATAGTACATAGCCTTTTATTTATGGATGACACATGACTTCTCTATCGCTAACTATTAACTGTCTTAATTCAGTTGTCCCACCACAGTCCCTTGGAACGCCTTAAATTACATAATTAAGTTACCTGCACACATATGAGGATGAATGCCTGGCCAATATTAATGTTAATAAGGACAAGACCTTTGAAAGATCTCCTTATTGAACTGGTTTTTAAAAGATCTAAAGCATAAACTCACATAGAATAGCTGAATTATTATTAACCTAATAATTATACTCATCCTATATATCTATATTTAATGATTTTAATAATGAATTTTTAGATATGTATCGGTAAGAATTAATATCATATATTTAGTTTGATAACCCTTATAAAAGATAATCACAAAATGATATTAGTTGAGTGAAAATGTTTCATCTGCACATTCAATATATATTTTATTTCAAATTTCTGATTCCTTCTTCATGATAATTTCTTTACTAATCAAAATTAGCAATTCTTTTTTCAGACTTATGTTATTTTTAGAATCACTCTTTTTTTAATGTTCTAGATGACCGTATTGTTCTAATATGATGGTTTCTTTAAAATTACAACTATTAAATGAAATCTAAATCTTAATCATATCCATATATAATTATTTGATCAATCATATATTTATTAAAATAAAATTTTTTTTGTTATAACAAAAATAAGCAAAATTGATGGTTTTTTAAGAGATGAAATCAATTATAATACTATTTAGGATTAAAGAGTACTTTTAATATAAATTGAGATCAAAGAAGAAAGATTAACAATTGAGAACTGATCTATTGAGCTCAATTAATATTAATTTATAATATAGTTTTAATTATTTAATCCAATTATTTTAATTAATTTTAAAAGAAAACAACAATCATTTTTTTATTTGAAAATAAGTAAATACTTCAATAATATTTTATTTCATCATTAACAATTTCTCTTTTCAATAAAGTATATAGGCTAAGTAAAATATAATTTAAAATCATTTAAGATAAATAATTCAATTAAAATACACGTTTTAATTTATATTAAACTCAATAAGTTTATTAATTTATTATATCAATTATTTTTACTGAAAATATTTTGATTCTGGAAAGCATTTTGGATATAAATTTTAGTTTTATATTTCTAATTTTTACCTAGACATCTAACCATGCCACATTTATAATTATTCATTAAAAAAATCATTGAAATATTTTCTAACCTTATTATTAAGTAGGTAAATATATTTATAGGAGTAATACTAAAAACTGTTATAAAAAAATATATAATGAGAATGAAGTTATCATATAAATACTTGAAAATTAGCATTAATAGAAAATAATATTATCCAAATAATTCAATAATTTTTAGACCTCTTTTCAAAATAAAACCGATTGTATGAAAAAAAGTAAATTAACAGATAAAAGTTTCAAATAGTAAATTAAGATTTATACACAATAATAATTTAATGGAGAGGAGAGAATAAGATAGAAATATCATTATCATTAATGGATATGTAAAGAAAATGTTATATATTTGTGAAAGAATATGTATATTAAATTTTAGTCTAAAAATTGAAAATTTTAATAGTTTTTTAATATGGATTATTAAATATGAATAAGATTAAAATGATTGATTAAAAAAATAGATTAATAAACTTGGTTTCAATTATGAAGGAAATGATTTAAAATAATGTTTTTTAGATCCTAAGGTTATAAATTTTTAGTTATTTTTCTTGAATGATTTTGAGATAAAATTAAAATTAATATAGAATTTTTGGGGAATTATTTAATTAGAGACATTCAATTGGTTTTATTAATTATATTGAATTTGATAAAGTTGTATAAAATTAAAAATTTTTGAACGATGTTGAATATATTTTAATTTAAGTTCTATATTAATATAAAATTTCTCATATTTATTGAATAGTTATGGTGTTTAATTTATTTATCATTAATAGTATTAGCAAGAATAAAATTAGGAAATAGTAAAAAATGGCTTCAAACAATTAAAAGCATTTGATCAATGATTCTACTGGAAATCAACATCAGAGTGTATTAGATGTTCTGAAATAAATGAGAAGAAATAAAATGAAAATACTTAAAAAAAGATTATTTTTCATCTTAATAGTAGAAATACTTGGAATGAGTGGTAAATTATATTTCAATAAGATTTATTTAGTATAAATATTAGCATTATCATTCAAAAATTGGTATTAGTTTTAGATAGAAGAAAAAGAAGAAATATGGATTTAACTAATTTATATTGAATAATATATAAGATATTCAGAGTTTTGTGAAAATATGAATGTCACTAATAATTTATTATGTAGTGATATGAGAGATGTTGGATTTATTTGTTTTTGTTTTATCGTATTTGCAATTTTAGTTTAAGTAAGGAAATTGAATATACAGATTTTAGAAGTTATTCGTCTAATCATTTATTTAAAAAAAGGCAATCCTTGTGTATTATGTAAATTGAAAGGCAAATTACTTCAAGTAGTATTTATTTTACTATTGATATGTGGATATGTTGGATATTTTTTCACAATTCTTTCTTTATTTTAATATAACCAAAGTAATCCAATTGATTTAGCCATATTTAGAAATAAAATACTTTGGATTTTCATTTTGGATGGGTGCAGGATCAATAATAGGATTGATTTTGATATCATTGTATTATAGAAAAACCAAAGGGTCATTAAGTAGAAATAATTAAGTTCAAAAATATTTACTATTTGATAATGGTAAGGTTGAATTTTCAAATATTGTCGAATGAATTAGACTATGAATTATTTGTAATGAGTATATAACTCTAACTTTAAGTAGTTTTTTGTTTTAATTTTATTAAGTTTATATGCAAAAAAAAAATAATTAATTAATACTGTCACCCAGTGGTTTGGGAAGTAACATAAAGCCTGGATTGTTTTCAAAGCATTGTGAACTAAATAAATTGAATAAATAAAAAAGTTTTAAGATTGAGGAGACTCTTACACCAAAACTCTTTGAAACAAGAGAATCAAGCTTTGCTCCTTAACCAAAATTATAAAAAAGTTAAAGGTATTCATTAATATATTATAATTATAGTGCTTCTCGTTTGCTTTTGCCTAAAGAATAAAAACAAGAAAGAGTAGAAAGATAAGAAATACAAAAAATACCATCTATTAAATAGGATTAGATTACTGAGCTATCATAAAAATTATATCGAGAGCTTATAGAATTTAATGAATAGGCAGATTTTGGAGGATAAAATGAAATTTAGTAGTGGAGTGAAGAAATGATCAAAAAATTGTAAATCATTAAAAATAGTTTGGAATGTATAATATTAATAATATATAAGAATCTGATATTTTTGATAATCAAGATAATGTGACTGAAATTTAACAGTATTTATTATAATATTTTAAGAAATGATATTATTTAGAATTTATAAAAGGAATTAAATGATGAGAGGAAAGAAAGATATAAAATTGAAGAAGAAGCAACCAATTTAATAACTGAATAAGAATTAGAAATTGATAAATTAGAGAAGCAATTAAAAATGCTAGAGGAAAAGCATGCTTCTTGATAATTTCAATTAATTAAGTTAATTATATATATATATTTATAATACACATAATAATAAATACAGAAACTTCAAAGTAACAATGCAGATTCATTTACATTTAATGCTGTTTCTGTCTTTTTAAGCAAATTTATATATGTTTCAATTTGATTTTATTCTTAATTTAAGTCTTTTAAGGCTTAATCTTCTTTAGATAAGATTTTTTTGTCTGATAATTCATCAAAATGTTCTTATTATAAATAAGTTGGTCTGATTGACATAAATCTAATAAATAAAATATAATATTACTTATAAAATGATGTAATCACAGCTAATGATGATGTCAGTAAAGTTATTATAATATTCCATTTTAGATCACCATTTTTAATAGCTTATTTTATTAGAAATATAATTAGAATAATAATTTATGGTAAATCTTCAAAAAGAAATTAAATTAAATATCCTTTTATTGAAGAATTAATAGCTTTTCCTGCTTAATTAGGCATTAAAAATCTCATAATAAAATTATTTGGAATTATATCAACATTAAATGGAGCAACCTAATCTAAAATTAAAGCAATAGCTTAATTTTTGCCTGCTAAACTAATACGATAGAAATCATTTATATATTAAGTTGACAATTATTTTATTTAAATATTTCTATTAAAGATAGTTCTAAATATTTGAATGAAAAAACCAATCACATTCAAACCTTAATTAAAGATTTATAAAGCTAAAACAAGATAAAATAGTATATATTCATCACAATAATAGCAAGTTAAGATAAAGCAAATATCATTGAATTAATCATATTTTGCAAGCTAACTTGTAACAATATTTTTTGTAAAACTAATCCAAAAAGCTTAACTTGAATTATTAAATTTATCAAATTATGTTTATGCACTTTTCAAAACTGATCCTTATTTTTAATATACACTTTTTTATTTTTCATCATTTTCTTTTTGTTATTATATTTAACTATCTTCATTAGGATAAATTTAAATGGCTAATTTTTCAAAAAAAGATGGAACATGTTAAATTATGTTTTTATATATATATGCTTCTAAAATCATAGAAATTCCAGCAAATGAATAATATAAATAAAATGCCACTTAATTAGGTTGATTAATACAATAATCATGTCTTGCAGATGCAGTAGAATCACCTTAATAATAATGACTAAAACCATATGGGGCAATTAAACATATTGCTAAAAATAATATGTTATTTATAACAAGGAAGAAAAAGTAAATTTATTTAGTAGATAAAAATTTGTTTAAATTAGCAACTTCATTATTAAATTTATACTGTTTTGTTTATTATACAAAAGCATCACAAATTTTATATAAGAATTTCTTAAAAATCTTTCTACAACCAATAGGTTTCATATTGTAAGCTAATTCTCTTAAAGCATAACCAATACCAATATTTAAAAAGTTATCAAAATCATATTATATAGATGAATATTCAAAATGAGTAGTATCATAAAAAATAGAATAAATTGCTTTGATTGCTTATAAAGTTAAAGTATTTTAAATTCTAATTTTAGAAGGTGGAATCAATCTAATTAATTATACAATATCAGCTTCTGTATAACCTAATCTAAATAATTAATCAATTAAATCATCATCTAAATAATAATCCATAATTATTTGATCAATTGAAGATTAATTAGATTTGATATTCTCCCAAATATATAAAATAAATTAATGTGTTACTTTCTCTAATCCTTATGCTTAAGCATTTATAATTACTATCTTTTAAATAATACTATTTGATTATTTAAAAGTTAAAAAGGTGTCATTTTAAAATAATAAAGTAAATGGATAAGGACATCCAGGTTCTTTTGTAGTATATTTAAAGTAATTACAAAATTAGTCTAGAGTATTCAAATTAAAATAAATGCTTGCTGATTAAAATCTAGATTATATGAAATGTTCATTAAGAATTGATAAATAGTGAGTAGCTAAACTTAAATGATATTATGAGACTTTAATTAAAGCCTATTCAGTCCAATTTGCTGTAATAAAGTTTTTTTAAGTATACATGATATTATTTTATAATTAATTGAAATAACCAAACTCTTCAGGAGTTCCTGCGAATCGACCTACATCACTCATTTCATAATCTATAACGATTGGTTAATCAGGAGGAGGACCATAACCTTCAGGTTATTCAGAGAGATATGATTGTAATTTCTATTTTACTACAGTATTATGAGTTAATAAGGTATGTATAGATAATTTTTTGTTTGATGAATTTTTTGCTTTTTGGATGGCAGAATTAATTATATTCTATAGTTTTAGATCGTTATCTAAATTAGTATCTGATATATTTAATTCTAATAATTCCACTTTTGGATGAAAGAATAAATTTTAGGCTACATCAAGCCATCCTTTATGTGTTAATGAACCATTATGAGAAAAACTTAATCTTTTTACTTAATATACATATCTATTAGGTTTAGATGCAAAATATGTTCTTGCATTTTTTGTAATAATTTCAGTTGATGCATCTGTAAGAGCCATAAAATGTAAAAAGACATCTTCTAAAAATGGTGTTAGATTACTAAATAATATTGTTGAACAAGTTAAATTCCATGCTTCTTCTGTTTATACAAATTCATTTCTTCCAATATCAAAATATTTTAATGGTAAATAATTAATATAAGTTCTTTTAAATTATTTTTAGAATTTTAACCAATTTATTGCTTATTTACATAAATCTATTTACATCTCACTACTCCAATTAGTAACTTCTAATTCTATTCTTTCAATAGAAATATATTCAAAAAATAATATCTCTTTATTTATTAATTCAGCACCTTCTTATCCTATATATAAACTATAATATATATTAAATCTTTTTAATTTTAATTAAGTAGAGCTTTATTTATTTCTTTTTTCAATATCACTTCTAAATTAAGATGCACTTTCAGTTAATGCTTGAATTCCAGGTGGTTTTAAATGACATTGATGAAAAGTTAATTCCTCAAGTTAACTTTATTCATTATAAATAAACTTTTCACCAATAATCCTTAATGATTCCTCACTAAGTTATTCCAGATTATTATAATAAAGATCAAAACTAAATTATAAATATTTCAATTTTTCAAATCCATTTCCTACATTTAATTATTCATTGAATGAATTTAAATGACAATATGTTAGACGTGTAAAATTAAAGTTTTTATTATAACAAAATTTCTCTTATAAAACTTAAATATCTTCTCCAGTTAAAGATTTTACTTATAAACTACAATCTTTATTTAATTATGAATTTATTTATTCATTTAATATATTTTCTGTTTCAGCATATGATGAAATACCTTATAATTATAAGTTTACTAAGAAATTTCTAGATTTATTTAATAAAGATAAAAAGTTTTCTTCAATTAACATAGTATTTTATATTACTAATTTTTTTATATGCAATTATTTGATCTCTTTTAATCCTTTTGCATAGAATTCATCAAAACATCTACATTCCTATTCATCACCAGAAATTGTTAATTCATCTAATTGGGTTTTTGGATTCTATAATATTTCATTTATAAGAATACTGATAGTTTCTATTTTATCAATATCATATCCTCCTGAATGAATATTTAATTTCTTTAATAATATATCTTTTTCATATTTATTTTATCCATACCAATCATTAGTTGTTATTTTACCCTCAAAAGTTAAAAATTCTCCAATTTCAAGAGATTCAATTGGAAATAATTCTCCAAATATAAAATATTTAAAAAACTTTAAACTATTATCTCTATTTAATGTTTCTTAAATTCCTATCAATTTTAATTCATTAATATAATATTTATCTTTTTATTAAGATTATTAAATTATTTCTTTAATTATTCCATTATTAAAACCAGATAAATTTAACTTCTTCAAATTTATATATTTAGAACAAATAAAATAACTTACAAATAATTTTGTTATTTCTTCATTATCATCTATAATACCTTCCATTATAATTTCTTCTAATTCATAATTAAATGTTTCATTCACATTTATTTATCTTGATAATTATTGTCCATATTTTTAGAATTCTTCTACATTTTTCATAAACATATCAATATTGAAATTAGATAATTTTAATTTAGCTAATTTATTTTATGGATGACAAATTATACCACACACTAATGCTCTATATATTTATTGAGTTTATTCTTCTGGAGAATAAGTCAAATTCAAATCTAATTCCAAATATCTTAATTATTATGGAGGTTAAAATTGGAATTTATTATAATGAAATAAAATCTTTTCTGATAAATTTAAATTTGAATTTTTAATAGTTGTTTTTATTTCTTACAATTTATTTTCTACTTCTTATGTTCCTTCATTATTATTTTCACCTTCTTTCTATTCTTTAATTTATGATTACATTAGATTATTCTTATTAACATCCAACAGATTTGTAAATAAATAATTCCATTATTTTGTAGAAATATCAGGATTTAAACTAAGATCAATATCTCTCAATTTAAAATATCTTTTTAGATTATTACTTTTCTCTTTATTTTTTAAATTTGTTATTATTTTACATAAAGATTATATATGTTTTTTTTGACATTTACAATTTCTTAATACAAGTTTAGTTAATTATTATTTTGCTTCATTAAAAACAATATCTTCAAAAAACCATTCAAAAGCTTCATCTAAATCTGTATTAATTGCTTCAAATGAATTTAGACTCAAAGTTAATGTTGATTTTAAATCATTTTCTTAAATAATTTATTTTGATGACATTAAATATTTATCAAAACCATGACAATCATTTAATGAAAGTTCTTTTATTTTACAAAATGGATTTAATGCAAACATTATTAAAAATTCAGTTTAAATTTCACAATTTTATAATGTTAATGAATTTAATCTTGGTTTAATTGTTTAATTTTATTCTTCAATTTTCTTAACTAAGTTTTCAAATACTTTTTATATTGCTTTTTACATATTCTCACAAAATTTTATTGTTTTTAATTTCAATGTTGCCAATTATGAATTCATATTAAATAAAAATGTTTAAACAAATAATTGCCATTAATTAGCATTTGGTAATTCTATTGATTCTATAGATAAATAATTTAATTAAGATAATTAATGATCAGGATCATCAATATTAATATTTTTTATTATTATTGATTCTAAAAAATTTGCTATAGGAATCTCTATTAATGTAAGTTTATTCAATCTAATATAAGTATTCAAAATAATTAATTGAAATATATTTTCATAAACTTATTCTCCATACAAATTTCCAATTTCTAATATTTTTAATGATTTAATTGAATGTTATTCATTTTTCATTATGTCTTATAATATTTCTTTGTTTTTTTCTTTTAAGGTTATAGTTATTCCAATCAAACATAATTCTTCTAAGAAAGTACATTTGTGAAAAATCAGATATTAAATTAATGAATATAATTCTATTGATGCTCCATAAGCATTTTTTAATGTAAATGATTTTAAGCCAAAAAATTGATTATTTAATTAAAGATCATTAATATAAGTAGTTAAACTTTCTTCAAATTAATCAGAATCAGTACTAAATGAAGTATCTTCTAAATAATATTTTTCAAGAGATAAATTATGGTTGAATACTAATTGATTGAAATGAGTCTATTCAAAATAAAATCTCATTCTTATACCATAGAATTATTTTAATGTATATCTTACATTTTCATCTTAACTTGATATTATTTTAAGAGCCTAATTAAAGGCTTCATTTCTTTAACTTACATTGAAAGCCTCAATAAAAGTTACACTTTATATTTACAAATAATCTTCTGAAGTTGTAAATACAAGTGATAATAAAAATTATAAATTAATTGGAGTTTCCATTGAATACCTTTATTCTGGAATTATTATTTCTACTAATGGAATTCTGTAATTTTAATAACAAAAATTATTAGAATTAGCTTTTATTTCCTTAACAAAATCATCATATGCTTTATAGTAAGCTTCCATTCTTCCTGCATCACAATTTGATATTGTTAATTTTTTTAGATTAGAATGAATATTAAAACAAGTGTTTTTAATAAGTTTATACATTAAATCATGTCTATTATAATTTTCAACAGTTGATAAATCTAATTCTTCTAGGTTAAGTTTTTATAAAGTTTTAGTTTATTATGTTAATTAATTTAAATGGGTTATCTATTTATCATAAGATTCAATAAAATAAAAGATCTTCAATAAAGTAGGTAAATCAGCTGGTAATGAATTGTCTAAATTAATTACTTTTAAATCATTTAAAATATTGTAACTTATTAATTCAAATACCTTTGGAGTCATTTTATCATTGTTTGCAATATTCAACATAGATAATCTTAATTAATCATAACGATTACCACATAGACTCTCTACAGATACTGAATTATGCAATAATGGTTAGTTACCTTAATATGATAATAAATTATACTCATTTCCAATTAAAGTAGACCTTTAGAAGTAGAGAATAATTAACATGCTTTTGAAAATTCTCCTAATTCTCCTAAATAATTATCATTTACATTTAATCCAACTAATTATTCTAAATGATCTTCATGGTATAATAATTATATTAAATTATAAAATGCTTTATAATTATTATTAGTGAAACATCCTGCTACTTTCAAATCATAAAAGCATGTTTAATCAATTTCTAATTCAGCATTTTCTATTTTTTCTTTATATGATGGTTAATCTAATTCATTATAAAATATTTTAATCAATCCCAAAGAGAATGTTTTAGTATTTTTAATTATTTTATAGAAATAATTTCTTTTCTTAGTTTCAAATTCTATTTTAAGGAATTATTCTAATTAAACTATGAAACTACCTTTATAAATACCAGGATTACTCTTAATAAAAATCTGATAATATATGTTAATAATTTACTTATTAAAAATTAATTTTGTTTAGTAACAAATCATATAAAAAATCCTTAACATCCATATCATCAATTTCATTCTATTTCAAAATTAAAGTAAAGTCAATTGGATTTAACCAATTAATGAGTCTACCTAGAATATTTAGATGTTCTTTATCTAATTATGTATTAATAAATTAAAGTAATTATAATTAAGTAAGTGAACGTAATTCTTATTCAATATATATCCAATGTTCTACTTTAAAAGTACCTTTATAATCTTTAATACTTATCTCTCCATTCCATTCTCCCTTTTTTACCAATAGCTAAATTATTGATTTAAGATTACATTAAACTAATTTAATTAATTCGTAACTTAATTGCCTGGTCTAAATGTACACCTTCTTTTTTAATTCTAAACTTGTTAAGTAGTAAAAGTGAACTTATCTTGTTATTCCTAGTTATTCTAAACTAGCATTTTCAGTGCTTTCACCATTGCATTTTAGCTCATAATTTATATAATAATTATATTGAATATTATTTAAAATTATACGTATTTTTAAGTTAAATATTAATAATTTTAGTAAATTCTTAATGATAATTTACGTTAAATAAATTTAGAATCTTTTTTTGAACATTATAAATAATTTAATCATTCATCTTCTTTAGATTAATTTATATCATTTTAATTTACTCCTGGTGGTAATTCTTCATCTCTATTGATTGTAAAAACTTTTTTAGGAATTGAATCTACTTTATTATTCAATACTTTTAATTCTTCCTCATTCTCATCCTATTTCTATATTTGTATATTCTGATCTTCTTAATCATTTTAATTTTATTCTACTTATACTATTTATTAAACTATAGGTTTTTGTTCTATTTACTCATTATTTGAATTTTTAATTTTTTCAATCTCTTCAATATCTATTTGAAATGATTAAGTGATATTCAAACTTTCAGGAGGCTTAATCAATTTTTGAGCCTTTTTTAATACTCATATAAATTAATACTTCTAAATTAATTGGTGGTAAATCTTCCTCATATAATGTAAACAATTAATCAAGTTAATCTTTTTATTTATTATTTATTAAAGATTCATAAAAAAATGATATTTTCACTATTGAAATATTATGTAACTTATTATAAATATTCTTAATTAATTATTCAATTTAAGGTATGATTTCATTTTAAGAATCAATTTTTATTATTTAAATATATATTTTAAATAATAATGAATCTATATCTGACAATGATGATTCATAACAATTTAATATATTTAATTATTCTAAAAACTTAATTATATTTATAAGTGCTTCTAATTTCAATAATTTAACTGATTCACCTACTATCATTATTAAAGATTTAAAAATTATTTCTCTATGATTTAAAGAATATTTTAATTAAGTATGTCTTTATACAATATTTAAAGTAGGTCCTTATAATGTATCAGATTAAGTTGCATATGTTTAAAGTATTTAATTACATAATTAATCTGAATAAACCTTTAATCCAGGTACTCTTGTTAATAATTCAAAAAGCATTTCTTTAAATCTCATAGCATTATCAATTGTATCTATTTTCTATGCTATTATTGGAATATACATTAGTAATAATTTCTCAGGATCATCCACATTTATGAATTTATCTTTTGTTATTATATGAATTAATGATTCAATAATTTTATGATTGCTTTCTAAATCTGAATATTTCAAAAAAAATTCAATCACTGTTTAAAAGTTTTATTGATTTGTAAAATCTTTGAATAACTATAAAATTTATAGTTTTGAAAAATAATCACTTTTTTTAAAACTTTCTAAAATTTATTCTTAAAATTCCATTAGACCAGCTGATGTTGATATATGAGTTAAACATTCCAATCCTAAACATCTTACTATAAATATAATGATAAATTAATTTACAATTAGGATCTTGATGATTTAAAAATTATTTTAATATATCTCCTGCACTTTCATAAAGTTATGAATGATTTTTAAAATACTTCATTATTGAATAAATTAATTCATATTATAAAGATTTAGAATTAGTTTAATTAAGTAATCTAGAATAATGTTCAATTAACTTTCCTTAAAATCTAGGTTCTAAAGCTATCAATTTATTTGATATTCTAACTAATTTGATTAATAACCAATTTGATTTTTATTTAGAAATTTGATCATAAACAATAGATAAAAATAATGGATAGAGTTTTGGTGCCACTTTCATCACTGAACAAAACAAACTAATTCCACATGCTAATACTGAAATATTAGTTTCTTTCTATAATTATTGTATGACCATTTCTAAATTTCCAGGAATATTTAATGGATTTATTGTAAATATTTTAGATAATACAGCTATTGCCTTTTTTCTTATCAAAGGTTTAGTATTAGTAGTAAGTTTTAAAACATGTGTTAATAAGGAATCTGATAAATCTTTATTAGCAATTGTGCCTAAACAACTTAGAGTAGTAGAGCATTCAATATGACCATTTTTGAATTCTTTTTAAAATACATTAGTAACCATAATGAGACCTTAACTTTGATTATCAATTACTAAATGTGCTGCTAATTAGGCACCCAATTTTAATTAGAAATCTGCACTACCCATTAGATTTATTATTTAAAATTCTGCCCATCTTATGTTATTCCCTTCCATAGCTAACTAATTTATAGAATTATATAAATACAAAGAACAATTTTAACAATGCTTAATATCTCACTGATTCCTATCTACTTGATATTTCATTTTTAATATCTGCTATAGTTTATGTCGTAAATGTTAACTTATCATATTGAGATGTAGTTCTTGATGTTCTAACAACATCTGCTAAAGATTTTAAGAATATTTAATCCATTTATGACAAGTGGAACATTATTAATATATAAATAATATATAATATAAAATTATTTATTATTGTTGAATGTGACATAAATTACAATTAACAAATTATTTTATTAACATTTTAATTAATATTATTTTTTATAGTTTTCTAATTATTTAAGAATAATTGAAACATTTTTAAGAATCCACATATATATTGTATAAATTCAATATGAATAAAAATAAGCTATATGATAATTTCATTATACTTCTATGATTTTATTAATTCTAATTATAGATAATTCTGCTTATTCTATAAATATACTTATAATATTAATATTAGCAAAGATCTAATCAAAATAATATTATAGATCTTAAACAATCATAGATAATTAGCTTATATCAAAATAATGTAATGTTTAATTCCATTAAGTTTACAAAAAAAAGTTCAATTGAATTATAATTAAAACAAAAGGAATAGAAATGCTATGAATAAGAATTAGAAAAGATAATAGATGGAGATTAAGATAATTTAATAAATGAATATTTGAGGCAATATAAGGAGAATGAAATCTATATGGAATTGATACAAAAAAATTTGATTACATCAATTGAATTACGTATATAAATAAGAATTTTAAGAATTCCGATATTTATATTATTATTAAAAAATTGGTTTTGATGCCAAGTATTATTCTACAAATCAGAGCACTTTTAGTGAAAAATTTCACATAATCCTTTAGAAATAAAGAATATATTTCTGATTTAGCATTGCCTGTAGTAACAGCAATAATAGTCTCTTTAAAAGATTAATTAGAATTCTTAGGATTTTTCGCTCCACTATTTTTATCAATAGCAGTTAGCACACCTCCTAGATCATTATTAATTAATCTTGTTGAAGAGAAGAGTGAGAGATTCAAAGAGTCTTAAAAGATAATGGGAATGAAATAAAGATCTTATTTAATTGGATGGATTATGTATGGTTACATAAAAACATTGATGGTATAAAAATTAGATATATTTAATAGAGTACAATATTTTTAATTTTCTTTTGGTGGCTATTGACATTGATTATAAATGATGGAGATTATGGATTTAAGACAGAATCATATAAAATATTCTTAACCTATTTTTTATATAGTAGTACAGTACTCAATTTTTCATTGGCAATGTCAACAGTGTTTTCTAGTCCTAAATTAGCAAATGAAGTTTCAACTTTTGTAACAATACTGTCAATTCTACTTACATTTTTGGTGTTTTTATCAAGTATCCAAAGGTATTTATATTAATAATAATAATAATAGTTCATCTCTATTCTACTATTGTATGTCTATATTTCCATAATCTTCAATAAGTTTTATATACATGGGTGCATTAAAGAAAGGGTTTTTCAATTCCTAAGCTATTAGTACAGCATATCCATTATCAAATGCAGCATTGTAATTAGGTATTGAATCAATCTTATATTTCCTCTTATTTTTTTATTTGGATCAAGTATTTCCAAATGAATATGGAGTAGCTAAACATCCATTATTCTTTTTATAAGGATTATTTGGGAAATCAAAGAAAAATAAATTGAATGATTCATTATTATATGATGATAATTCTCATGATCATAATGAAGATTATAGTAGTGCAATATATCATCAAAAATTAAATATATAGAAAAAATGTACAGTTTCTATTAAGAATTTAACAAGGAAATTTGGTGAATTTAAAGCTGTTGATAATTTAACAATTAAATTATATGAATAAGAAATTCTATGTTTATTAGGACATAACGGTGCTGGTAAGACTACAACAATTAGTATGTTAACTGGAATGATTGAGAAGACATAAGGAACAATATAAATTAATGGAATAGATTTAGAAGAGAATATAGATGCTATAAGAGAAAATGTTGGTATATGTACATAAAGAGATGTTCTTTATATTTCTTTGAAGGTTATAGAAATGCTCATTTTTATGGGTAGAGTCAAAGGATTAGAGGGTTTAGATTTATAATAAGAAATAAATGAGATCATAGAAGTTACTGAATTAGAAGAGGATAGAAATAAATTAATTAAAGAATTAAGTGGAGGTAGTAAAAGAAAATTATCATTGGCTATTGCATTGATTGGTGGATCTTCAGTTATTTTCTTAGATGAACCAACAAGTGGTATGGATGCATAATCAAGAAGAATTATTTGGGAGATTTTATAGAAAGTTAGATAATAAAATAGAACTATGATACTAACTACACATCATTTAGATGAAGCTGAAGTATTAGCTGATAGAATAACTATTATGGCAGCAGGTAAATTATTGGCTTGTGGTAAATGTGATTATATTAAAACAAATTTTGGAGAAGGATATCATTTATCTATTACAAGTTAGAATTAAAATATCTTATAGAGTTGTTCAGATTAAGTATTATCAATTATCTAAGAAGCTTAACTTGATCCTTAATCTTAATCAGATACTAAAATATTTTTAATACCTTTCAAAAGTAAATAAAAATTAGATTAATTGATTGAAACCATTACTAAATAATATAAAAATGACATTGTTATTAATCTAAAATTAAATTCTTTGGAAGATGCATTCATTAATATTGGAATGGATGAAGAGAAATTTATCAAGAAAGCTAAAGGAAGTAAAGCAAGTGTAAATGATAGTGATATTGCTATGGAATAAGAAGTTGAATAATAAAGAGATATTAAAATTCCAAAATGTTTAAATGATCCACCTGTTTATTCATTCAAATCATAATTCACTGCTATCTTTTTAAGAAAGTTTTACACAACTTCAAGAACATTCAGTAATTATATTTCAATTGTAATTCCTTTTACTTTGATAGTTATTGGTACTTTAATTATTGATGAAATCAACTTAGATTTTCTTAAAGATAATAAAAATTTAGAGTAATATTTTAAATTAGTGCTTATTTCATTATTTGTTATATTAGCATTTTGTTTTAATTCCTCTTTATTTATCACATTACCAGTATTAGAGAGAGAATTTAATTTAAAATATGCTTTAACAGTAATGGGTTGTAGAGTATTACCATATTGGATAGGTACTTATGCATTTGACTTTTTACTTTACTCATTTTTTGTTTTAACATTTGTTATATTCAGTTACATTATGTAATTATCATTTGTTACTGATCATATGGGATATGTTGTATTTGCATTTGTTACTTTTGGTTTTGCTTATATTTCATTTTCATATTTTGCTGGTATTTTAATGTATAAGAAAACATCTACTGCTATGAAGACCTTCCCATTCTTAAACTTTTTTATCATTTATTGTATGCCTTAAAACTTTTGGGGTGTTTGTGCTTTATTATGGTAAAAGGGTATAGGAAATGCAGATTTCATAGAATTTTTAATAAAAGCTATTGAATGTATATTTTCATTTTTAAGTCCATTTTTTGCATTCTAAAGAGCTTTCTAAAATATTATAAAAATAGATGTAAGTCCTAACAATAATCAACCACCTCCATTAACTACTGAAACCCTTTATTATTCTATTGCCATGCTTTATTAAGGAATTATTTTCTTCTTTTTAACACTTTATTTAGAAGGTAAATAATTCAAGAAGGTAGGTAATAATTTAGATAATAATGATGTAAAGAGAAGTGTTAGAGTTGATCAATAAGTTATAGAATAAGAATAAAATTTATTAAAATCAAATGATCCTGTAAAAATGTATAGATTATAAAAAGTATATGATAATGGTTGTGTTGCACTTCAAAATGTAAGTGTATCAATATAGAAATAAAAGATTCTTGGTCTTCTTGGACCTAATGGATCTGGAAAATCAACTATTTTTAATATACTTACATCTTTAATTAATAAAAGTGGTGGATATGTTAAAATAAAAAATTAAGAAGTTCATAGAGGAAAACATGAGATATTTTAAGATGTTGGTATATGTCCATAATTTGATTGCATTTGGGAGAATTTAACACCAAAAGAACATTTATATTTATTTGGTAGAATGAAAGGATTATCTGGAGATGATTTAACAGAGTCAGTTACATACTTTTTGTAAACAATGCAATTAGAAGAGTATATTAATAGATAAAGTGGTCGATTATCAGGTGGAAACAAAAGAAAATTATGTGTTAGTAATGCTTTAATTGGAGGACCATGCATTTAATTCTTTGATGAACCAAGTACAGGTGTTGATCCTATAGCCAGAAGATTCTTGTGGAGAACTTTGAAATTGGGAGTTCAGTTAAGACAAAGTAGTGTGATGTTAACAACTCATACTATGGATGAAGCTGAAAATTTATGTGATAAGATTGCAATTTTAGTAAAAGGATAAGTATATTGTTTGGGAAGTCCATAAGAATTGAGAATAAAGTATGGAGATGGTTATGATATACAATTGAGAGAGTATAAGAATAAATAAGAGATTACACAATTTCTTAATAAGCAATTCTAAAATATTATAGAAATTCCATAAAAGGATTAAGAAAATTTATAATTCCATGTAATCTATATTGATTTATTTTTATTAGATTCCAAGTTAATCCTTCGATTTTCACAAAGCCTATTTCTCATTGACAGAACTTGTATAAAAGAAATTGATCCATGATTTCTCAATCAATTAATCATCTTTAGAATCAGTATTTTTGTAATTTTCAAAATCCCAACAAGATTAATATAATTGAACATTGTTACACAATATATAAATTTTTATTAATATTTAAATGAAAGAATTAAATAATATATTAATTTCTTATAAAACCTGGTGCTATAAAGAGTTTAAATATCAGAAAGAATAATTTGCAAAAGCAGAAAAATTATTTATTGAATTTTGATGGACAATAACAATATATTATTACAAAACAAATAAGCTTGCTTAGAATATTTAACTAAATTAGGTATAAACTATATTGTACATCATCATGATCCAGTTCCAACTATTAATGATGTTGTCAAAATTCAAATGACAGATGGTACAGCTTATGTTAAGAATCTATTATATGTTGATAAGAAAGTATACAACTAACATTAATTATATAATAGTCAAATTATTATTTAATTTTGGCAAATCATA